AAATTTAGTAATTGCTATTTTAAAAAAGTGCAACATCACAAAATTTGTAGCAAAATCAAAAGATAAACCAAAATTGTTGCAATATTTAGATCTTTCATTTAATCTAATAAGAAATATGGATTTTTTGCATACTTTTGACTTCAATCTGCTGAGATATTTAGATATGTCATACACCAAAATAGAAGCATTTCATTCAAGTTCAAAATTCAATCTGTTAAGGTTAAAGATATTGAAAATAACAAATTGTAGGCTTAAAGCAATCACAGATGATTTTTTCAATCAATTGACACAATTGACAGAATTGCATTTAAATAACACAAATTTTCCATCAAATTCTTTACAGTTAGTAGTGAAAAGTTTAAGTAGTTTAAAAAAATTATTCAGTTTAACATTTAATTTATGTTGTCTAGTCTGGAATAAATTTGATAATGAAATTATTTGTTTGCCAAAACCACCTGTTTTTCAAACGTGCACAAACCTATTGGCAAATAATACAATTCGATTACTTTTTTGGTTTACAGGAGTGTTTGGATTTATAGGAAATACTTTGTCATTAATCACTGTGTTTTGGAGTTTTACATCTAAACAATCACGTAATTACTATCAGTTAACACTAATTTTTGGAGATTTCGTTGTATCTCTATACTTTTTGATAATTGCTCAAATTGATTTATATTTTAAACACAACTACCTCCACAAGGATATCAGTTGGAGATATGGTTTTCCCTGTAAACTATTGGGAAGTTTGCTTACATTTGGATTGTTACTCTCCTCAATTAGTGTTGTGGTGTTTAGTTTAGAAAGAAAGTATATTACTCAAAATTTTGGTGAATCGGTGTTTAAGAACAGGAAATTGGATATTTCCATATTTATTACTATTAAATCAGTAATACTGTCACTTACTCCTTCATTTTTATATCCAGTAAGATAGAAAAAGAGGATGCAGGACAAGACATCCCCTATTTTGCATTTTTACCCTAACCCTAATGAAATGAAATGATTTCTAGGACTAATTTCACTTTTAGTAAATTTGAATATAAAAAATGACATTTATGCATTAATTGTCATTATATTTTTACCAATCAATTCTGCTGTTAACCCTATAGCCTTTCTCTGTGGCATATTCTCTCATGGAAGGAAAATTTCTAAACTTTATAAGTTTATAGTTATAAATAAGTTGTAAAAATTAATTA